ACGCGGAAGGCGTTGCTCCTGGACCACTTGATACTACAACTACAACTACTATCAACTCGCGGGAGGCAATTTGCGATGCATGAGGTAATTCATTATTTAGTTGTGTCCTTTTGGACGGAAAAATTCCAAAACTCTCATGACTGCCGCCTATCCACCCGCGAGACTAACGTACAGTGAAGTAAGTGCCATTTCTGAAGCAAATGAAATGATTCACGAGGGAGAGCAATTAAAATCTGAGAGGCATGTCGCATGCATATAATTGCAGCAATAAATGTTGCGTGTTTACCGATTACATTGCAAAGTTGCAGACTAATGCCAATAAACTATCACGCGAAATGCCTCTCACGATTTTAAGAGCGTATCAAATTGGACAAAATTAATGACTCAAAAACCACTACAACAATTATGAGACCAATGCCTGCGCTTCAGATAATTTTAGCGTAACTTTGCTTTCAAATTAATTTTAGGCGTTAAAGGTGAATGTTTAGATCAATAGAAAAGCCTCTGAACTACTAAAAACTTGTTGAAAATCTTGTGCGCTGCTGAGGTGCTGGGTTGCTCCATGTTGGGGCAGATGCGGCGAAGAATGTCCCACGGTGGCAGAATGATGGAGGATTCTTGAGGCGTTGCATTTTTCAAACTTCGCAAGAGTTGTTGATTGAAACGCTTATGACTTATAAGAAACTTTTCGGCAAATGACAATAAAATATGAATATGGCAGATTACTTTAGTGACCGCCTTGGGCGCATGGAGAAGCTGCCTTCAAAAAGCAATCAAATCATAATGATATTCCTTGAGGAGGAACAAAGTCGTAAAAGCGAGTTTCATCAAAGTGACACGAAAAATTCAATTAATTGTGCCTTGGGGACACGGCAACTAAATATGACATACTGCTTATGGCAACTAAATGAGGCCACAATTTGGGCAAACTGCTTTGCAATCACGTTGCAGGATGAGCTGATCCTCTTCTCTCTTGTTATGTCGCTGAGTTTTTATTCGACTTTTATTCCCGACGGTCAGTGTGCAGGATTCAAACACCGACCCCTGCGGCCCAGCGGCCCTGCGCCGGGGCCCGTGCAAGCCAACACATAAACGCTGCGAGAAGGTTAACTTGTCCGACACTTTTATAGTTCGTGTTCTCGGCTTTTATTTTTCGATTCCCTTAACGCGGCCTCCTCCTGTCTACAGTTTGCAAGTTTGCAGAGATGCACCCACTCGCGCGCTTCCTAGGAGAAGTAAATTGGAATGGATGGCGCGGAAACGGGTTTGCGTTGCGTCACCCAATCTGGAGTCGATTTGACGAGCGCGCGATCTCGCCGAGCGGAGATGAAGCATGTTCGACCAAGTTGGCGCGGCATTGCAACAACCCGTTGCGACTTTGAGCGTGCGTTCCGTTTTCAGTGGAAACGGCGATCATTTCGCGACTTTACTCGCAAGACTGTGGTGGACGCGAGTAGAGAAAGGATCCGCCGACCGAGAGGTAGAGACACACAATTATGATTTGGTTTACCGGCGATAAAGATATTTTGAGGTTTGATTTACGGTCGGAACTCTTTGTGCCGACTGCCTGCCTGCCTGGCAGAAGGGCGATGCCAGCAGCCGAACAATGCTTTTGGTCTCTCTCGCTCTCGTTGGGTGTTCCGTCCGAGAGAGCGAGCTTGACTACAGTGCCGTGGGAGGCAGACGACACGCCGTCGCCATGGCAACCGTGGAAATTGACCGGCGGTCGGTCGGCATGTGAGAACGGCGGGCCTTTCGGAGCGACTCGGCCTCGCTCCTTGACGCGCTGCTACAAATTTGGCGCGCAGCCGCGCACGGAGTGGAGGAGCGGCGTGGCGGACCGCGCATGGAGTGGAGAGGCGGTCCTCCACGGGCGTCTGCCCGCTGGTCATCATGGCAGGCGAAAAGGAATTAAAAAATGAAATACAGCCAGCCGTTAAAAAAAGGGTTCCTTCCCGGTCGCCCTGCCCGAAGCCCAACTCCAGCAGATTGGGCGTAAAGAGCGCACTTCGGAAAAAGGGAACCTGGCGGTCGGCCCGCGGCTAATTTGAAACGAGTGTAACTACCATTTGATTCGAGAACTTTGTAGAAGGCTGTGGCCTTCGCCGCAAAAAAACCAAGAGCAACAACAAAGGAGTGCGAAAGAAGACGGGTGACTTCCGGCAGCGAGAAGTGCGGTGGCTTAATGGGCGAGGTGCGTCTCTTGCAGTCAATTGCAATCGATGCGTTAGATTGGGCTGGACAAGCTAATGGTGGCCCACCTGATTGATTCCCCCCTCCCTCTGGCCCACGTGTGGTCGCAGCAGGCAGCTGGATCCACGTCAAACGGCGATAAACGTTCATTTATGGCTTTTAAATTAGTGATCACAAGAACGCCTCGCGGTGGCTTTCCTCAATAAAGGACACCTGCCTCTCTCTCTCTCTCTCTCTCTCTCTCTCTCTCTCTCTCTCTCTCTCTCTCTCTCTCTCTCTCTCTCTCTCTCTCTAGCACTGTGTTTAACATTTTCAGTGCGCGTCAATTAAGACTCGCGGTTTCAAATCCGAGGAATGCGATTCCGAGAGACGGTTTCGTCGCCCTGTCTCTCTCGCGCTCATGGGGCGTCCCGTACAGGTGCGAGAGAGGCAGGGCGAACCGATACAATTACAGTGAACAGGGAAACGCGCGTTGGGTAATTGCAGAGACACTTTGTGTCTCGCAACAAACTGCCTTCCGACTTTTATACGCGACCGCTAATTTACAGTGATGCCCGCTCCGCCGATGACAGGGAGAGAGAGAGAGAGAGAGGGGGGGGGGAGAGAGATACAGAGAAAGACAGAGAGTGTAAATCCGCGTCCCGAATAAGCTGACCACTGCTTTATGGGTCGCTTTAATGTCCCAAGACGGGGCAGTGCATTGTGGGGCACGCGGCACTCGCAGCGAGCGAACTATCGGTCAGAGAGAGAGAGAGAGAGAGAGAGAGAGAGAGACAGAAGAGAGATTGACCAGAATGCGGGGCAACACAGAAATGTCGCATGCGACGTCAGCCTTGCGCACTAAATGTCTTACAGTGAAAGGTAGGAAGCACTAACATACAGTCAACATTTTCTCGAAATAAATTCAAGAAAACTCCAATAAGATAGGCCTACGGTTCAATGAACTTTCAGAGGTAAGTTTCAAATAGTGCAAGACAAGGTCAGCCGCGCCACCATGTGGAGAATTTTCACCATAAGGCTTCTAAAGTGTTCCTACTTGCACACCAAACAGTGTGCCGCCAACACGGCGCAGCGCGGAGCTGTGTTGTTGTGAGTGAAGTCCTGGAGGCGCTGGGTAGCTCCGGGTCGGGCACGGCCTATGCCACCGCACCTTCCCCGAGGCGCCACCCAGCAGCCTTGCAGCAGGATTAGTTAGTACCGCCACTGCAAAAAGGGGGGACTTCACTGAGAATCCAAAGGCTGTGACTTTTGTCTCAAAGGGTTTCAACTCGTCCATCATAGCGCTTTGTTTCTCAGTGCAGTCCATCCCGGTCCATCCTCAATGTGCGGGCAAGAGTTCCGATCTTCAACTAGTGCCGCTGGACTCTGGGTGAACAGCGCAGAGCAGCCACTGGCGGCCACCATCGATAGAGAAGTACATTCCTGACTTGGCCGACGTCTCGAAACAGTCCCAGGACACACGCGTGCATCATTACTCGAAGCCCAGTCCAGCCCTCGACGACAAGGGAACCTCCTCCCGCCTTAATTTTATCTTCCACAAGCAACCCCGACCCAGCCCAGCCTGGCCCCAGCCCCACTTAGCTCGCCCAGATATGTTTACTCACTAGTTTTACGAGCGCGTTCTTGCCCACTCTTTGCACGACTGCAAGAAATGCCTCTCATTGTGTCCTGTAATCTTTTATCGCTTTTACGGGCTTTAAATGACCGGTTTTGCGCAATGCACAAACTCCCACCCGTTAACCCGCGGAGCCGATCGCAATAAACGGGCTGCAGACTGATTCCGAGAGTCGCGTTCGTCGCTCTGTCTCTCTCGCACTCACGGGCCGCCCCGTATGGGTGCGAGAGAGACAGAGCGACTCTGCATCGAAGGGGCGGTTGGAACGGGTTGGCGCGCAAACGGCAAAAAGGCTAGGAAGGAAGCCCCGCGTCGCAGCGCTGCTGCTGCAGTGTAAAACGAATCGTTTCGATCAAATCGTAATTGGAAAAGCGACGCCACGGCCAATATTTGCCAAAGACGGAACGAAAGAAGCTCGCGGAATGCCGCTGCCATGCACGTGCACCGTAATTACAACAGGCGGGGTCTCTGTCTCTGTCTCTCTCGCACTCGCGGGGCCGGCCCAGGCGGGTGCGAGAGAGACGGAGCGACGAAGCGCGGAATCATCCGTCTGACTTCGGGGGAGAAAAAGCGCCAGTCCGAGACAAGACGCGTTCCATTAGGCAGACATTACGGGGCGAGTCAAAGTGGGGAGTCTAGTCGAACCCAGCCATGTAGTTGTTGTTGATCATGCTGTTGTTGTTGATGATGGTGATGAAAATGACGGGTGATCCTCTTCGCTCTTCACGCCCGCCAAAAGAGATATAGATGATTAAACTTTACGTTTAGGAAATGAAACTTAAAAAGAGTAAATTGACATTTCTTTCAAGAACTTGAAAAGTTAATATCGAGAAGTTTAAATTCAATGTTTCAAGGACTTTAAATGCAATATGAAGAGTTCAAAATTTAATATTCATTCATTGAATAGACTGAGAAAATGATAGCTGAATATAACTTGAGCGCAAAATTGTAACTCGACTGATGATAATTTTACGAAGGGCGTCTTATTGACGATGGCAGGTTAAAATGCAGCAGACGACAGGCAGCAGCGCAACATTTTGTAAAGTCAAAAAATGAAGAGGCATTGCAAAGGACCAAACCGAGATAGGAAGATTCCATTCGTAAACAAGTCAAAACTCAAGGAGCAGTTTTGAACAAAATAGTGAAGCAGGCATGATCAAGAACAAGATGCAGTGTTGTAGCAAGGTCTCACCCTCTAAAAGCAGATTTTTCACTTCTTCGTAATCCGAGCCGTGGTCTTTGAGGACGACGTAGATTAGAGGCAGCGCGACGGGGGGAAAGTTAAATTTTTCCACAAGCCTCTGTATTGACTCTCTGTGGACTCGCCCGTTCTCTCGTCCATTTCTACCTGCAACAAACAAAACAGAGCGGCTTCGTCAAGGACACTGGTAAAACTGCGGCGTTGCGCTTCATTCAAGCATACGACGAGGCTTGAAGGACTAAGAGTTGCACCTTTGCGCGTCCATAACACCATCCCCATGCCAGTCAGTAGCAAGACGTGTCAGAAGGGAGAAGGGACATGGCAAGTGGACATGAACATGCTGGGCAAACGGCTCGACCGCCTGGACCAGCAGAACGAACGAACGAACGCACCCCGCCGGCTACGCCTGCAGTAAAGATCCCTCGCATCCCACGAAGAGCCCGCTGCGAGACAACGGCACGGCTCTCAAGATATGCGTCGCGGTGGCCGTCTGCGATCATGGTGCATGATGAATGGGCCAAGGCTTCGTCTCGCATTCATGCCCCCCCCCCACACACACACACAGAGTGTAGGCCCCCGAGGGGAGTGGGAAATCTGCGGAGAATAAAAATGCCGCTGCACTGCAAGTGCATCCTCGCGTCTTGCGGCTGCGCCAGCGGTGCCGGCTCCGCTGCACCGCAACGGGTCGATCAAGGTGGGAGTGGCCGCGCCGAGGCCCCGCCCACCGCGGGGTCCGGGGGCCTCGCGCGCCTCGCGCGGAGGGGCCCCACCAACGGCCCCCACCAACGGCCCCACCACGCCACGGGCCCGGCCCGTGCAGCCCGCCCGCCCGCTGGAGAGGGGGAAGAGCTTTGCATGCAAGGTGCGCCACCCTGTCGCGAACTGGACCGGGAAACTGAGTAAAGGCGCGGGGAAAATGAGGGATTTGGCGCGGAGGTCGGAGGTTCGTCGTCGGCGAGGTGTCTGGCGGCGGCGGCGCGGCAACAGTGCGCGGCGTAATGGAATGCGCGGCCACGGCGGCCACGACGGCCACCTAGGCAGTAAGGATGGAACAATCGAACCGCCGTGGAGGACGCGTGAGTCATACGCCCCGGGCACGCCCCGCCGGCCCGCAGTCCGCGGCCGTCTTCAGGCTGCTTCCCAACGGAGTGGTTTCCGACGCTCCGTCTCTCTCGCGCCCCGACGGGACTGGGACGCCCCGGGAGTGCGAGAGAGGCCCGTTCAGCCTGCGGAGCGAGGGAGGCCGCCGGCCGCACAGAGGTGCGTCGCACTGCGAGGGGCGGCCTACCTGCCAGGCGCTACGGCCGGCCGCAACCAAAAACAGCTTCTGCAAGATTCTCGCGCCAGTCGAGGAAACAGCTGCTCCAAGTGACCAAACTTGAGGCATGGAACGTTCACGAGAAGCCTGACGAGAAGCCCGCCCCCGCGCCGCCCCCCCCTGCAGGTCGGCCCAGCCAATGGGAGGCGGCCCGCCCAGCGACGCCCAGCGACGCCCAGCGACGCCCAGCATGCAGGCCGGGCTGCGCAGGGTCGGGTAGAGAGCCGGGGCCGCTGGGCCGCTGCATCGCCCGGCCTCGCCCCCCGCGGCTCCCATTGGCTGCAGCCTCCCCTTCCCCGGCGCGGCCTCCTCCACGGCCTCGGCCTCCTCCACGGCCTCGGCCTCCTCCACGGCCTCGGCCTCCTCCACGGCCTCGGCCTCCTCCACGGCCTCGGCCTCCTCCTCGGCCTCGGCCTCCTCCACGTCGTCGACCTCCTCCACGTCCTCGGCGGCCTCCTACGCGAACTCCTCCACGACCTCGGCCCCAGCCGCTAACGGTTAAGTAAATCCTGTTAACGCCGCCAACGCCCGCCATCCACGCACCGACGTCGGCGGCGGAGACGACGGCCACCTGCAGGCTGACAGGCCTCCGTCTGTCTCTCTCGCACCTTTACGGATCGTCCCATGCGTGCGAGAGAGACAGCCCGACGACGACGGCCACCTGCCGGGAATGGACCGCGGCCGTACCGCCGGATCGGCCTGGCGCGGTAAACGCGGCGATAACACGGCGCCGCGCGGTGGCCGTCGCGCTGTCTCTCTCGCACTCGCGGGGCGTCCAGTAAAAGTGCGAGAGAGACAGAGCGACGAAGCATGGGGTCGCCACCACCGGCACCCGGCGGCAACAGGGAACGTGTGCAAATAACCCCGGGGGAAAGGTCGCCGTTGGCGAGCGGCTAGTCGCTCTGTCTCCACGCACCCTTATGGAGAGCCTCATGAGTGCGAAAGAGACAGAGCGACAAACCGACTCGTCTCGCCGCCGCCAACCTTGTTGCCCTCCAATCCTCCGGTCTCGTTACCATCCGCACTCTCGGCCCGTAGGCGAAAATATCGTAAAAATCCGTTCGGCGCGCGGCGGCCGGCGGCGGGGCTGGCAGCCCCTGTTATTTGAGCCTCGGCCGTAAAACGGACTCTTCTAATGGCTGCACCTCCGTGCTTCGTGCTCCGTGCTCCGCCACTGCACGGCCATCAGACGACCCATCCGCCAAGGCGTGCCAGCCCTTCCCTTTCGGCGGCCCGGCGGCCAAAAACCACAAGGCGCGCCACTTTGTTCTCCAGCGCCACCACTCTGTCTCTCTCGCACCCACGCGGGACCGTGCCGCACGCCCTGCGAGTGCGAGAGAGACGGAGCGCGTTGGAAATTGCTCACAAAATACTCGCCGCCTCCCGGGCCGCCGCGCCGCCGCCGCCGCCGCCGGGGTTCGGCCGGACGGGAAACAGAGAGACAGTGACACAAAATCGTCCGGAGGAGGGACTAATTGTGTACCCGACCGGCGAAACTGTCTGCCGGCGGGCGGCGCGGCGGACAGCCAGTCAGTCAGGCGGCGGGCTCTTCCATAATTACAACAAGAATGAAATCGTGTCGAAAAATGAAGCAGATTCTGTATGCCGATAGGCAGCGAGTCATTACGCCGAGCGTTCCCGCGAAACATCCCATTTGCGTACAGCGACACAGGATTATTACCGTCATTATGCAAAAGCGGGCGAGAATCTAAGTAATTGGCGGGGGCCGTATACTTTTTTATTGCCGGTGTGGTACCGCCACCGCGGCGACGCTACCCGCGGCCCGCCCCGGCCAATAGGCCACTCGGAACAAACACTCGGCACTGACCACGTCATGGGCTTGCTGAATAGACGGACAGTGGGCTAGAAGACCGGCGGACACGTTGGGAGCTCCAGAGTCGCTAAATGGGACTCGAACCGAACGTGTGACCCCACCAATGGATTGCTCTCCGAACGAGGAATCCATTGGTGGGGTCACACGTTCGGTTCGAGTCCCACTTGGCGACTCTGCAGCTCAAAACGCGTCGAGAGTTATGGCCACTGGCGCCGGTCTTCTGGGCCACTGTGCGCTTCCTCGCTCAGCTCGGCGCCCGGCGAGGTAGGCACCCCATCGTACGCGGCGCGTCGGTACCGCGTGCTACCGCGCGCCAGCCCCGCCAGCGGCAGCACCGACAGAGCGAGAGATACAGCGAGTAATCAGCATGGGAAACAGTGCCTACAATGTACCACATGAGGGCTGTCGACCCAGGGCGGTACACTCCTTGCCAAGAGTGCGGGCGCCGGCCGGGCCGCCTCGCCGATACGGCTTATCACAGCCGATACGGGGGCATGGGCGACTCTCCCTGCTCTCCCTCGGCCGTCCTGGCGGCCAGCACACTGCTTCCGAGAGTCGTCGCTCTGTCTCTCTCGCTCTCGTGGGGCGTCCCGTATGGGTGCGAGAGAGACAGAGCGACGAAATCGACTTCCGGAAGCAGTCTCCTGGCAAGGCCTCGCCAGCCGTTGCGACCAAGTGAGAGAGAGGGCCTCGGTGGCTAGAGGGAGCGGGACTCGACGAAAAACCCAAATATCTGTCAAGTCCATGTGGTGTGGCCAGTTCATTTTCAAGATGCGACAAGTGCATCGTGAGTGCCTATTTGTGGGTCAATGACACCGCCTCCTGGACCTAGGGACGTGTGAATTGTTCGAAATCGAATCGCATCGGTCTAGAGGTGCCGAATTTCGTAGCGCCTTATGGACGCTGACACTGTAAAACCATCTGCTGGGGTTCTCAGGAACATAGGCCAATTTCGAGGAGAACCTCCTGGAAAATCTCCTGGGATTCTCAGGAACATCCGTCAATGCTTAGGAGATGGTTTCAGCGCGAGGTTTCGAGACGCTTTCGGTCCAGCCGGCACGCGAAACGCGAGCAACACAAATAGAGCCTGGTTGCTGCTGTGCCCGAGTGTACCCCGCAGTGGGTCGGGGAGGAGTAGCTGCAGATATGGGCCGGCCGGGCCGGGCAGTACTGCCTGCCTCAACACGCCGGCCGCTGGGCAGGGCGGGGCAGTGTGCCGGCAAGGGCCCAGGGCTCGCGTCACCGCCGAGCCAAAGCCCAAGGCCGATACGCAGCAGCCATCGACAGGCACCGACACGTTGGCCTAGATCATCACCTCCACAGTGGGCCACAAGACCGATGGAGGCGGTCAGAATCCCGCGGGCGCGTTTTGAGCTGCAGAGAAGCGAACTGGGACTCGGACCGAACGTGTGACCCCACCAATGGATTGCTCTCCGAACGAGAAGAACGCATCTTGCCATTTCCAGGAATCTGACTTTGAACGGGTGAGGCTGGTGCGTGCCGCGTCCTGCGCTAATAATGCCGGTCCTGAGAGTGTACCTCCCCGCGGCGGGGCGCGGCGGGGCGCCGGCGAGGTCCTGGCCCGCGCGGACTGGCGGCCTGCCAGAGCTGATTTGGTACAAAGTAGTGCGAGTGTGATCCTTCGCCTGGCCGGCCACGAGATGCAGTGTACGGAACGCACGCAGCGCGGCACGCGGCACGCCACCAGGAAAAGCCCCATCGAGCGAGAAAGAGACCCAATAGACTGATTCCGAGGGTCTCGCTCTGTCTCTCTCGCACCTACACGGGACGCCCCACGAGTGCGAGAGAGACAGAGCGACGGAATCGGTGTGCGGTGGGACCGAGGCCGCGCGGGGACGCGTGACGCGTGTGAGGCGACCGCAGCGGACTCATTCCGACAGTTTTTCGCGTCGCTCTGTCTCTCTCGCGCTCGTGGGGCGTCCCGGGGAGGCGCGAGAGAGACAGAGTCCGCAGCCCTATCAATCAGCCGCGATT